GAGATGGGCTGTAGCAAGAAAGGAATGACTCCCTTAACCAGAATTGACTTGGTTGAAAGAAAAAAAAATAAATAAATAGGGGGTTACATCTGAAACGTGCCAGCTTTAACTGGGATTTAAGTATTTTACCATTCACTACTTCCCACAATCACACTGCAGTTTGCGGACTTCCCTAGTATACAGATAGCTCTATTCACAATTGTTGCAAGTTGGTTCATCATGTTCTAATAGGGAGGGGGGAGGGAAAACAAACATAAAACAAAACAAAACAAAAAAACTTAGTGCCCAAGTGTGTCTCTAAGATTTCTGCAGCAGTTACCCAACTCTCGGACTTGTATTGACATTTTAGCCTACCCCAAGTTCTGTGTAAGCACCTGTTCAATGTAACCTTAATTTCCTGCCAGACCATGGTTGGATATAAATGCCAAGCTTACTTAATACATTCTGATTTTTAAAAATTTCATAAACTTTTGCTGTTGGGAAGGGAATCACTTTTTTAAAGTTTGGGGAATTATTCTCATGCACCAATGACGCAAAACAAGAACTTAATTCTCAGAAACAAAAGTAAGTTGTATGAGATGACACCCCCTAGCTTTGATTTTACATAATGAAAAGATCGATAAGCTAACTGTATTCTTTGAAGGAAAAAGTTTAAAGAATTGACATGTCCTGAGGAGATTTTTACTTTTTTTTTTTTCTTTGGCCCTGGTCCTTTCTGCCTTTAGTTTCAAAACTCTCACTGCACCAGCAGCTAAATTATTCACAATGAGCCATTTCTGTATTGATCGCCAAGTATATTTAGCCCTGGCTCCTGGAATTTCTCCATTACTTACTGGAAAACAGGCAGCTTCACTTCTTGTCTCCAAAACCACTTCCCTTCTCCCTCCCCTCCCCTTCTTCACCACCACCCTCCCTACCCCCCAAAAAACTTTTCTTTCTTTATGGAATAATCAGATCAAATTCCCAACTCAGCCACTACATAGCACTTAAATTTCAACCTGCTGTACTGTTATCAAATTCTTTTAAATTATGATTACATAAGGCTTTAAAGAAAGGCATCTGTAAAGTTTAAAAGGGGCGCAGTTCTTCGGATATTTTACAAATGAGTTTATCTCTTTAAAAATGTACACATTTAACACACACATATTAAAAAAGAAACGTCAGGGAGAAGCGAAAGAAGTCTGCCCCATCAATGAAATGGTTATTAACCCTCGGGAGAAGGAAAGAAGGAAAAAGAAAAAGAGAAAGAGAAACGAAATGTACATACAAAAGAAATTGTCCTTTGATTAAAAAAGATTCATCACCATTTCCAGCTCTGTCGGGAGATCTCAGCTTCTTCTAACCCCTCAAAGAGGAGGTGACAATGTCGGGCTGAAGATAAACGGAGAGAGAAAGAAAGAAGTTTTTTGTGTTTCCCCCTTCGCTTTCCCTCCCTTGTCCCCTCCAAGCCAAGCCCCCTGCAGAGTTCAAGGCGAGGAGGAAGGAAAAGCACTTTACAGGTGGGTCATTCCGAGCCCAAATCCAGCAAACAGATCGGCTGATAAACAAAACCAAGAAATGAGAGAGAAGGAACACCCCCCTTCTCCTCCTCCTCTCCACCTCCTTCTTTCACCCCTCCCCCTCGTCCCTTTGGGATGGTCTAGTAGGAAAAGTCACTCAGGAATGGCACCACGTACTTTCAGGAAAGAGGAAAAAGAGAGAGACAGAGGTCAGTCAGTGCTACAGCAATGCGATTAACAAGAAGAGAAAAAACTTGATCCACCGGTTCTTTAAGAATCGACCAAAAGCTAAGACAAGAAAACTGAAAGAAAAGGGGGAAATTAGAGGGGAGGGACAGTCAGGCAGAACCCAGCAAGGAACCTAGGCCAACTTCACAGGACTGTTTTTCGCCCTTGGCTAAATGAGTAAATAAATAAATAAACAAACAAATAAATAAATCTTAATTCCATCTCTTTCGCCCATACTAGAACCTGTCAAAGTGATTTAACTGCCGCTTTTTTAACATGTGTCATACCTGTTTTATTATTATTATTCCAACAAAATCTGGATATTACCTTCTATCTAGACAGCTACAATTTACTCCAGGCTACCCAACCTTTCTTGGAATTCAAGTTAAAACAAAGCAAAACAAGTCCAAATCCATGACAGCTATAGAGATGAGAACTGATTAATCGATTAACATCCCAGAAAGATTACAAGGAGGGGACGATAAATTAAAGCAGAGGACATCATCTTCAACCCGATTCCCTGAGCGTCCTTTACAGAAATTATTACCCTAATCATAACCACAATCCATCCCTCCCGGAGAAAAAAATATATTATTATTATTAATTATTATTATTATTATTACTGGTTAACAGCAACAAGTCATTTGATCACAACACAGTGCAAACGAGATGCTATATAATTACACTTAACTTTGAAAACACTCCCCCCTTTGCAAATCAGACACACATTTATATATAATCTATGAATCAGAAGACAAAACAAGAGCTGTTCTTCACCACGCAAAAGCCAAGCGGAGATTTACCTCAGCAGTGCATGCAGTAAAATAATCCCATCACCCTTTTGTTTGTGTTTACTGTTAGTGTGTCCTCTCTCTTTCTTTCTTTCCTGTGCCTAACGTGTGTTTGTGCACTGCAGTTGGTGGTGGAAACTAAGGCAGTGGATCTGTAGCTAAGGGTAATCCTGTTTTTACTTCCTCCATCTTCAGCGAGGAGCAGGGTTAGCCCGGGACAGCTGGTCAAACCCCGAGAAACCGATCCGCCGGAGCCCGAGCACATCTCCCCCGCCGGCCGGGCTCGCGCA